AATGACCATCGGATTACACCGAAATCGATAGAACTAAATTTTTTTACTCGAAATTTTATATTTCGGTTCAATTATATGTTTTTTACTTTTAAAATCATGGTTATTTCAATTCTATGTCGGCTATATTTTTTTAAAAAATAAACGAAATAAGCGAATTGGCCGAACTATATCAAAAAACACAATTACTATTTTTTATTTATATTCACATTAAGGTTACATGAATTGCACATTTATGTCTACCAAATTGCATAATATCGAACAAGATGGAACGAACTAAATTTTTTGGCTCAAAATTTTATATTTCGGCTCGATTATTATTTTTTCCACTTTTAAACACTCGGTTATTTCGGTTCGATCTCCTTTTTTTATTAAAGTAATCGAATTTACCGAACGACAAGTCTATATAAAACAATTGTTAACATTCTTTTATATTTTTTATACAAAAGTATCATTTTATTTCACTAAATTAAATATAAAAGTATTAAAATGATAATTATGTTTTCATTAATTACACTTGGACCTAGGAACCAAATTATAATATATTAAAATTTATAAAATTGTAGTCAAGCCGTTCTGAGAATTTATTGAATTCCCCACAATCAGTCCCCAAACACCCTTTTCTCACGTCTACTTGCCGACTGTCACCTAATCCCGCTGCATCTGCTCTCTAACACCACATAGCCCGACGGCGGAGGTCCGCAGCATCATACCATTTCCGATTTGATTTTGAATTAACAAATGAATGAATTTGTGGGTTTGAGTTTCAGATGCTCGTCCGCAGCCTGAGTTCATTTGTAGGCGGAGAAGACCAGTGGCTGATGAGAGGTCGAGCAATGCGTGGGCGATGGCATATTAATTCTATCGACGGTGAGGTCAGATTAACGGTGGCAGGCGGCGGCTCCGTCCTGGTGGCTGGGGTGCGTCAGGGAGGTCGGCGAAGGTAGGGGACGCCGATGGACGAGGTGTCTGCGACTGTTACGGCGTCCACTAGATCGGCAGGCACATGTCGGCGTCGGAGCTGGTGGCCAGCGGGCGGCGGGTCTGGTGGCCGACGATCGCACGCCTCTGTTAAATGTATGGGGTAAAATACGTGGCGCCCCTTTGTGTTTAACGAAATGTACGCGTTTTTACCCTGTGTTTTAAAAAATGCACCAGACCCCCTTATATTTAAGTGATTGATGCACGGTTCCCCCATTCCGTCCAACTTAACGGCGCGTGTAAGGCACCTTCTCCAGCTGCGAGAATTGTTCAATATTGTTATTTTACAAAATTATTAATTTACCATTATACCCTCCTAAAATTTATGGCAAAATCTAAAATTAAGTGTTGGAAGTGATACTCGAACCCCAAATCTCTGGGGGAAAAGAAGTCCTCCCAACCACTAGGCTACAAGGTTAGTTATGCAAATTACTGAACGTAAATATATTTATATATGATACGGAAATGACTTAAAGAAAATAAAAATAAAGTAAATAAAGTAAAACAAAAGTATAACAGGTTAAATTTGTATAAATTATGTAATTGGGATTGGGGGCATCAATTTAGAAATTAGATAATGCACAAGGATTAAGTTGCAATTTTAACAGTTTTAAGATTTTTCAATTTAAGAATTTGGGTAAATCTGTAATTTCTGAAAAGTTTGATAATAACATATACTCCCTCCTTTTTTTTAATAAATGTCGTTTTGAGAATTTGCACAGTAATTAAGAATATTTTTTTTGCCAATAATAACTCTCATTAATGAGGATAAAGATGAATGTTTTGAGAAAAGATGAAGAGAAAATATGAAAAGACATAGGGTAATAATGAAAAAATATGTATAAAAGATCCAAAACGTCATTTATTTGGTTAATTGTTAATAAAGCCAAAATGACATTTATAAAAAAAAAGGAGGTAGTATATATTATGTATATAAGCTGATAAATAATACAAAATATTAAATAAATATATAAAATATTACAAATATTTTTATAATATAAATAGTAAATTATTTCACTTATTTCAATAATAAATTAAAAATAGGGATTTAGGATTTCATTGACTTTTTTTTTTTAGTAATGCACTTCATATATCAATATGCTGCACTTTATAGAAAAACATGTTGCACTTTATAAAAAAATACTAAATATATTTTTTAAAAATAAATTACTAAATATATTTTTATAAAAACTATTTGCATTTCGAATGCACATAATTGTTATACGAATTGCACATTAGTGACTACTTGATTGCACATTAATGACTAAGAGATTGCACCATACCGATTGAAACCGAGCGAATCAAGACTTTGGGTCGGAATTAATAAGTCTTCTCCATTATATGTTTTTACCTTTAAAATATTAGTTATTTCACTTTGAATTCACATTTAATTTTAAAAATAAACGAAATAATTGAATTGCCAAATTACATAAAAATATTATTAATCAATGAAACAAAAAATAATAAATAATATATGTTGTTTAGATAATTTAAGTTTATAAATACTAAAAATATATTTATAAAAAATATTTGTATTTTGAATGCACATAATTGTTATACGAAATGCACATTAGTGACTAGTTGATTGCACATTAATGACTGAGAGATTGCACCATACCGATTGAAACCGAGCGAACTAAGACTTTGGGTCGGAATTAATATGTCGGCTCCATTATATATTTTTACCTTTAAAATTTTAGTTATTTCAATTTGAATTCACATTTAATTTTAAAAATAAAAGAAATAATTGAATTACCAAATTACATAAAAACATTATTAATCAATTGAAATAATAAATAATATATGTTATTTAGCTAATTTAAGTTTATAAATACTAAGTATATATTTATAAAAAAATATTTGCATTTAGAATGCACATAATTGTTATACGAATTGCACATTAGTGACTACTTGATTGCATATTAATGACTGAGAAATTGCACTTGTACAAATTATTTATCACGATTATGCATTTATTAGATTTTTAAAAGATTAGGTATTTAACTATTATTTAAACTAGTGTGTGACCCGTGCGATGCACGGGAAAACAATATTTTGATTGTATTATAAATTAAATAAATAAATAACATTAATCATGATTTACCTATTATTTTTAAATTAAACCGGGTTGGACACAGTCTGACCGGATGGACCGAGAACCGGTTTATAACCAATGCTTGAATAAAATATTTGCTATCGAATCCGTCAACATCAGTATCTTAGACTGGTAGGATCTATACGATTTTCTAAACAAATTTTGTTACGTTAAAAATTATTTTAAATAAAATAGAGATTTATAAATTGTTTATCAATTAGTTTAAACATTTGAATTTATAAATTGTTTAGATATTTTAGTAACACTTTTTATTTAAATTTATTACAAAAAGTACTATATATATATATACACACACACACACATTAAAGTATTATGTATTAAAATGTGAACAACCACAAATGATTTAATAAAATAACTTGATTGTTTCGATGACGTTCCGGTTCTGAAAACCTTATATTTACCGTACATTGATAAAAATGATAATAAAATAATTATTTTTTTCACATAAATAATAATAAAATAATATATAAATATTCATAAATCATTAATCATGTTGTCGTAAAGGTATTGTTAATATGATTATTTGAAGTTTGGACTACATAATAAAGTATTTTCAATATTAAAATTTATATTTAGGTTCAATAATCGATTTGGTCTGGTCAAACTGATACATAACTTAGTTACCTGGGGCCAACCAAGTTATGTCAAGTTTTTTTACTATTTTAAATATCATCTAAAAGTAATTCAATCAACGTGGGCAGTATCCTAATTCAATCACCCGATTGATCCAAAGTAATTTCATTATTTTTTTTAAATATAATATTTAATTTTATGAAATAAAAAAATTTATGATTCATATGTCTACACCAAATGATAATATATTAAGATTATAAATTATATATCTAAAGATGAATTATTTATTTTTCTTTTATGCATATTAATAAAAAATAAACATAGTAATTTAAAAAAAATCAAGATTAATTGATTGGATACATATATATATATATATATATATATAACATGATTGAATATTTTTGGATTAGAATATATATATTTAAAATGATTTTATTATTAAAAGTCAAAAAGAAAAGATGCCATAAAGATTACAACTTTGAAAAGTTTGTAACCATTAATTTAGGAACCATCCGATTTTAAATGATTTATAATTTTTGAAACAGAATACGTCATCTAAAACCCATTAATTTAGGAACCATCCAATTTTTTGATAATGAATTAAAATTAAAATGTAAAATAAAAAAATTGCTAAAAATAGTATATAATAAATGTGAGTTGACTTTTCCTTACTACTATTTATGGTAAATGTTAATTCTTATTATATATATATATATAGATAGATTGGAATATAATTAAACTTTTTTAAAATTGCAAATTGGTCCATGTGCTTAATCTAATTTTCAGAACAATACCCCACAAATCAATCATCAATATCGAAAAAGAAAATATATCTCGTCTCTCTCAGCCCCAATATTTTTTTCCCTTCCGGTCATCGCACCACCGATCCCGTCGGCAGCCACCCGCAGCTCCTCCTCCACCGTTAACCTTGCTCCAGGCGCGTATCTAATCTCTATCCCGACCACCAGCGCCACCTCCGCCATCACAATACCATCGTTCGGCCGTTTTGCTCACATTCCGAAACTCAAATTCGTCTCTGATAAAAATCCCCAAAACTCTCCATCAAAAATTCGATTCTGATAAAACCACATTCCGACCCAGAAGAAAATCCCCAAAAAAAATTCATATCAAGTTCTGCTCACATTCCGACCCAAAAAAAAAATCCCCAAAATTCTACTCAAAAATTCGTCTCTGATAAAACCACACCTCATCGCTGCCGTCGCGATTCTCCTCTCAGGTTTTCATATCAAATCCAGACCAGCCATCGCTGTTTCAATATCGTCGCCGGAGACAAGGGCTTTTGAGCTGTTACCTTTTCAAATTTTCAAGAGAGATGAACTTACTGTGGCGGCGAACGGCGGGGACGACAGAACTGGTGTCTGCGTGCGGCGGAGCCGATGTATGTGGGCGTCGGAGCTGCCGGCTGTGGGTATCGGGGTCGCCGAGTGTGTTTAATATGTGTGCAGTGTGTGTGAGTTGTGTGCGTGTGTGTATAAGTGTGTGAGATGTGTACGTGTGTGTGTGAGAGAGAGAGAGAGTGATTGTTTGGTGGGTGAGATGTGGGCACGTGGGTAGATGAGTGGGTGAGTAGAAATTACACTATTGCCCGTGGTCAAACATATACATTTGACTATGATATGTACTTTTATTTACTATATTGTCATTACATGTTTGATTGTTATTATTAAAATTTAACTTAATCTTGACCATTGATATAATAAATCCAATGATGTAGATTCATTCTTATTTCTTTCACTATCTACCATTCTCATATGATCCTAACTCTATATATATATATATATAT